AGGGGGGCATAGAGTTTCCCTGGTGTTGGCCAGAGTGGCCACCAGGGAAAGCTGGGAAGGGCTAGCCTCCCACTAGTTCGAATTAAGGGGCTACACACCCCTTAATTCGAACTAGCTAGTTCGAACTAGGCTTAATCCTCGTAAAATGAGGTTTACCTAGTTCGAACTAAGCGCTCCGCTAGTTCGATTCAAATTCGAACTAGCGGAGCGCTAGTGTAGCGCCTATTAAAGTTAGTTCGAACTAACGTCCGTTAGTTCGAACTAACTTTGTAGTGTAGACATACCCATGTTGACAAAGCGCCTTGCTTTGTCAACAGAACTGGATGTAGTCTAGTCGCTCTTTGTCGACAGAAGCTTTGTCGACAGTATCTGTTGACAAAGCCTCTGTCGACAAAAGCCTGTAGTCTAGACGTACCCTTTCATTGTTGGACATAAGAAGCTGAGGGGAAAAGAACACCACTCAACCCACTCGGGCTGGCATGTTCACTCATGGGTCTGGTTGTGAACTGTCTGTGGTGTTTTCCCAAATTAATGCCACGTTACTTCCCTCACCTTGTATTAAAAGTTTCTTTTTCCACACTCAGACTCTGTGCTTGTGAGTCAGGCACTACTGCCTCTCAGAGGAGCCCCACAAGCAATCACCAATTGTCCAGAAATGGACCCAGCACACACAAAGGATGATGGTACCGAGCACTATCTGATGATGGTACAGGCACTAGTGCCCAAGAGGCAACAGAGTTCCAGAGAAATCGGGGGTGAGGAAAGCCGGGGTAGTGGTGATGGAGGCAATGCCTGCCCATGGATGGCACAGATCCCATGGTAACCAGATTCTTAGGCTGCGTCTAGACTGGCATGATTTTACAGAAATACTTTTAACGGAAAAGTTTTTCCGTTAAAAGTATTTCCGCAAAAGTGCGTCTAGATTGGCAAGGATGCTTTTGCGCAAAAACACTTTTTGCGCAAAAGCATCTGTGGCCAGTCTAGATGCAATTTTGCACAAGAAAGCCCCAGTTGCCATTTTAGCCATCGGGGCTTTTTTGCACAAAACAATTCTTCCCTGTCTACACTGGCCCTCTTGTGCAAGTATTCTTGTGCAAGAGGGCTTTTTCCCAAGTGGGAGCGTGAAAGTATTTGCGCAAGAAACACTGATTTTGTACATTACAAAGTCAGTGCTCTTGCGCAAATTCAAGCAGCAGTGTAGACAGCAGGGAAGCTTTTGCACAAAATCTTACCAGTCTAGACGCACCCTTAGTATCCAGTCACCGGCAATGTCCTACCATACTGGGGCTATGTCCAAACTACACCCCCCTGTCGGCAGAGAGATGTAAATGAAGCGGGGATTTAAATATCCCGTGCGTCATTTGCATAATCACGTCATGGTGCCGTTTTGAACAAGCGCCATTTCTAAACTGAAACCGCAGTTTAGACACTTTTTTTGACAATGGGGCGCCTTTTTGAAAGATCCTGTAAGCCTCATTTTTTGAGGAGTACAGGATCTTTCAAAAAGGCGAAAAATCCGTGTCTAAAATGCGTTTTCAGTTTCAAAATGGCACTTGTTTGAAACAGCACCATGACGCAATTATGCAAATGAAGCGTGGGATATTTAAATCCCCGCTTCATTTGCACTTTCAAAAGTGCTTCATTTACATTCCTCTGCTGACAGAGGGGTGTAGTTTAGATGTAGCCAGTGAGACGCAGACAGGAGGAAATGGGAGCAGCAGGGGGCTGGCTAAGGTCCTTCCAGGCTACAGGAGGCTGCTTTGCCTTTCCTGATGGCAAAAGTGCTCCAGGAGGACTGTGAGCAAGCTCACTCACCCTCACCTGGGCCCGTCTCTCCTGCTGCCTGACCAGTAGGGCCTAAAAACAAAGGAGGGCCTAAAGAAGAGCAACGAAAATTATTAAAGGTCTAGAAAACATGATCTATGAGGGAAGACTAAAAGAACTGGGCGGCTGTGTCTAGACTGGCATGATTTTCCGGAAATGCTTTTAACGGAAAAGTTTTCCGCTAAAAGCATTTTCGGAAAAGAGTGTCTAGATTGGCACGGACGCTTTTGCGCAAAAGCACTTTTTGCAGAAAAGCGCCCGTGCCAATCTAGACGCGCTTTTCCGCAAAACAGCCCTGATTGCCATTTTTGCGATCGGGGCTTTTTTGCGGAAAACAAATCTCAGCTGTCTACACTGGCCCTTTTGTGCAAAAGTTTTGCGCAAAAGGACTTTTGCCCGAACGGGAGCAGCATAGTATTTCCGCAAACACACTGACAATCTCAATGGGCTTACATTGCAGCAAGGGAGGTTTAGGTTGGACATCAGGAAAAACTTTCTGCCTGTCAGGGGGGTTAAACACAGGAATAAATTGCCTACGGGGGTTGTGGAATCTCCATCACTGGAGATATTTAAGAGTAGGTTAGACAGACACCTGTCAGGGATGGTCTAGAGACCAGCGGTTCCCCAACCTTTTCCAGATGGGGACCCATTTTGACAATTCAGGAAGACTTGGTGACCCAAGGCAATTCAAAAAAGGGGGGGGGGCGGAGCCACCTGTGGCAACCCTTTTGAAATGTAATAGCGACCCATATTTGGGTTGTCACCCATAATTTGGAAAACCCTGATCTAGACAGTGCTTGGTCCTGCCATGAGGGCAGGGGACTGGACTCGATGACCTCTCAAGGTCCCTTCCAATTCTAGGATTCTGTGAAAGCTGCAACCTTAGTAGACTGAGTCTAGTGGTTAATCCATCCCTGCAGAGGGCAGAAGGAAGCAAGCAACAGGCGAGAGGTTCTCAGGATACGGGGTGAGGGAGACAAGTGAGCTACAATGGTGACTGTTGAGTGGGGGGCCTCAGGAAAGGGGGCTGAGCAGGAGTGGGCCATGGGGCAGAGCAAGGGTGGAGCATGGGCAGAGTCTCAGGGACAGGAAGCCAAATGGGGGTGGAGCAGTGGGCACGGTGATAATCCAGGTGCTGGGGAGGTTTTGGCACTCACATCTAGTCTCCCCAAATTCCGGAGCCATGCCATGCCCATGGCTGGCACCAAGCCTCTGCAATGGAGCAAACAACCCAAGTAGGTATATAACCTCATCCTGGAGCTTTACAGCCCCTTCATTCCCAGATGCACTACAGGGGGAAGGGCTCAGGGAGGAATAAACCCAGACACCCACCTTCCAGTCCATAATTTTCTCCTCCTCTTTAGACATCAGCATCCAGGCCTCCTCCAGCTCCTTCCTCAGAGGCCCCAGGGCCTCCTGGAGTTTCACCTGCAGAGCATCATGGGCAATAAGCAGCCATTAATCTGGCTGTCCGACAGGCGGAGAGTACTATGGTGATGTAATTGGATTGTAATATGAATGGACAGATCATTGTTGCAACCACTGTTCTATGCTTGCACCAAATTTTGTACAAAGTGGGTCAAGTGAGGTGTCTATAGAAAGCTTATGATTTGCTGAGTCTGTTTATATGACTTGTGTGCATGTATCATATTTCTACTTGAAGATATCCACATTGGCGGTGCATCTGTACTTCAAATGTCAGCCCCTGGAGTAACATCCACAGAGTAACAGGGAACCTCGGCAGTGTCTCGTCCCCAGATCCCCACTCTCTAGCCCAGACACAGCCTCAGATATTTCTAGATTGGCACGGACGCTGGCAAGTTTTTCCGGAAAAGTGCCACAGCACTGTCATATTTCTTTAATGTGTTTCCAGAATAATGTTGTCCCATCCAGGCTGCCAAAACCCAGCCATAGTAGCACACAGCTAGCTGCCGCTTTGCCAGAAAATTGGTGTAAAACACCTGGGCTATGCCTACACTGCGAGTTTTCTCAGCAAAAAATACGCAAAGGAGGGACTCGTTTGCATGAGTCGTGATCTCATTTGCATATTTTCTGCCGATCCGTTTTTGCACTGGAGTTTTGGGGCAAAAACAAGCAGTGTGCATGTTTTCTTTTTGCGCCAACCCCCCTTTTTCCGCAAGATCGGCATACCTCCTTTTTGGGGCACATAAGGATCTTGCGGAAAAAGGCATTTTTGCGCAAAAAGAAAATGTACATGCTGCTTGTTTTTGCCCCAAAACTCCAGTGCAAAAACGGATCGGCAGAAAATATGCAAATAGGATCATGACTCATGCAAATGAGTCCCTCGTTTGCATATTTTTTGCTGAGAAAACTCGTAGTGCAGACGTAGCTGCGGTGTATCTTAGCGGAAAGCCCACACCACTTCCTACTAACTTTGTCTGGGCTAAGGGCTGCAGGAGCCCTACGGGTGAAGCAGGGCTGCTGCCCGGAAAGATCTGAAGCTGAAGGAGGAGCACAAATCAGGATTTGGCAAGAGAAAGAGGAGAAGGGGGGATGTAGGAACCTGCACTGGGTTTATGGCCACTGACGTGTTAATTTGGTCTGAATGAGCTCTCCCATAGCAGCCAGCTGGGATGAGGTAGGATTCAGACCACAGTGTATGTACATGACCAAACCCACTCTGCCTGGGTGCCTAGTGATCAGTGTTGATGGGTAGGACTGGGCTAACAGGTGCATGGACAGGGTGCCACAAGGGGTCTTAGGCTTCCCTGTGCGGGCTGCCACACAGACTCCTCTCCAGCCCCTGCTGTGAGCTGGGCCAGCAAGTGTCCCTCCACCCAGTCCCCTCTGCAGCTCCACCCAGCCACCCCCCCTTTCCCTGCCTGTGTTGCTCCATCTCTGGGTGGGGCCATCTGGGGCCAGGAGCATTGCATGTGGGTGAGCAGGGGGAGCCAGGCAAATCTGGGAACAGAGCAGTAGGGACACCTGGGCTACGTCTAGATTGCATCCCTTTTTCGTAAAAGGGATGCAAATTAGATGTATCGCAATTGCTAATGAAGCGAGGATTTAAATCTCCCCCGCTTCATTAGCATAAAAATGGCTGCTGCTTTTTTTCGGCGCGGAGCTTTGCTAGACTTGGATCTTTCGGAAAATAAAGCCTTTTCCGAAAGATCCCTCATCCCTTATTTTAAGAGGGATAAGGGATCTTTTGGAAAAGGGTTTATTTTCTGAAAGATCCGCATCTAGACTGGCGGTTTTTTCCGGCAAAGCTCTGAGCCGGAAAAAAGCAGCAGCCATGTTTATGCAAATGAAGCAGGCGCGGAGCTTTGCTAGACTTGGATCTTTCGGAAAATAAAGCCTTTTCCGAAAGATCCCTCATCCCTTATTTTAAGAGGGATAAGGGATCTTTTGGAAAAGGGTTTATTTTCTGAAAGATCCGCATCTAGACTGGCGGTTTTTTCCGGCAAAGCTCTGAGCCGGAAAAAAGCAGCAGCCATGTTTATGCAAATGAAGCAGGGGAGATTTAAATCCCCGCTTCTTTGCAATTACTCTGTGTCTAATTTGCATCCCTTTTATGGAAAAGGGGTGCAATCTAGACACAGCCTAAAAATTCTCCTGCCAACTCCTCTTACTCTTCTCTTTCTGGTGGAGTACTGGTACCCCCAGGGGAGAGCAGCTTTGCCGAGCTGCCCCACACTGCACCTGCCCCTCACCCCTCTTCTGCCCTGCCTGCCGGCAACTCCCTGCAATCTCTCAAGTCTCGTTTTCACTTTGCCTCTCTCTGCTCTGAAATTAAAGCCAAAGATCCCCTTTGGACTTTGTCCTCTTTTCCCTTCCCCAGCAGAGATCAGCAGCAGAGGAGGGCTGGGGGAGGGAGGTACACATGCGGCCTGGCTGGGGAGGGGTGAAAGCAAAAGGAAAATAAGAGAAGATGGTGTTTACGCCTGCCCTTGATTATCAGTATGCCTGTGTCAAGGAAGTGGGTTTTGTCCACGAAAGCCCAGGATGCTATACAGGCAGTCCCCGGGTTACGTACAAGATAGGGACTGTAGGTTTGTTCTTAAGTTGAATTTGTAT